ATTTAAAAGTTATAGCATGAAAACTATAACAAGCACAAAATGGTTATGAGGTCGGTCCATGGGATCAAGCCTGTGCTGCAAGAGTTAATATGTTTTTGAGCAATTCAAATTTGTTCAGATTTGGACCTGAATGGCCTGATGTTATTTAATGACTTAAGGACTGAAATTTATCTTCCTGTTGCCACCATATATACTTGCCCTTTCAGCATGGGAGCATTATATTTGTTTCTTTGTTTTTTGCATTATGGCAACTTGTTCAGCTTCAGATATACACCAGTTTATTTTTCTCACATCACAATGTGTTTTATTTTAAAATGTCATGCTTTCTTACTGTGGTACTAATAGGTGTCTGCATCTCTGAAATTGACTGAATTAGGTTTGAGTGAAGTCGATAAAGTCTCATTTGAATGGAAAATAAGCCATGAGGTTAAGTGTTAGGTCTCATTACAAATGAATAAAAAAATATGGTGTGAAATTATTGCATTTTTTTGCATAAATATTTATATCAGTATATGTTACTGTTTTACTCTTGTTCTGAAATGATTAACATTTAATACTGATTTTAGAATGGAACATTTTCTGAAAAACTTCTATATTGTTTATATATTATTAATTTGGTATAAAATATTTTTTTGATTGAATAAACTGTATTTTTGGTTCTTTCAGAATGCTTTATTTGTATTAAGAGACTTAGCTCTTCTGGAAGCTGAAAAATTCAGATATTTAGTACCAAAACCATCTTATTATTCTCTACACAGGTGAGGTTCATGATGTGATTTGTATTTACCATTTACAGTTTTTCTTATTTTCTCAAATAATATTGTATATGATAAATATTTCTAATTATAACATGTTACTTTCATTTCAAGTACTTTATATTTTGTCTTATTGTTTTTATTTTTGTCTATTCCATTTAGGCCATATCAAAAGTAATTATGCTAATGTTTGTTACATTTTTAGACAAGTTTTGTTATTAAAGTATGTTGATAATAAGTTATAAATATGAATCCTGTCATTTACTAACTACAGGGTGTCCAAAAAGTCTGGAACTGTATGCAGTTGAAATATTTTACAGAATATGTTTCACATGCTCTCCTTGAAATTCAAAACAAATTTGACCTAAATACCTAACATCACTATCATTCTATTCCATTCCAAAACTAAAACTAGTGAGTGAAATTGTTTGGAATTTCACAAGAACATTCCTAAAAGTATTATTACATATATGTACATTTTATAGTGGTTACCCCCTCCCCCCATTGGGCAATGTATATTTATAATGCTCAAGTTTTGTTTATATTACTGGGATTGACCAATAATCATCAGCTATGAGCAATTATGCAATTGGATTTCTATAGATGTCTATAAATAGCGAGGTTGCATTGTAGACAGAGTTGTTTTTTCTTTGTTCTTTTGGCGAGCTATAGTAATGCTGTTGAATGTATTACGAGGCATCTGAAAAGCTACATTCGTACTTAGATGATATTGCTATAACACAGACATTTGTGACAATTGATAACTGTTCGGCTGGCTAGTTGGTATTGGATCTACAGAAGAAGACAAAAAGGACCAAGGACAAATTGGATTAACAGGAAAACAGAAGGGAATCACTATAACATTCAATCGAGAACTGGCACTAGTAAACCTCAGCAAAGGTTCAATATCCAGTGACACAAATATAGTTAAGTAGATGAGTTAAAGGTTTTTGGATATGTATAAATATTTTATATGTACACTAGTGTATGGTAAAGTAAGTGTAATTTTGTTTGTTGTTATCCATTAAAGTTTATTCAAAGGTAACATAACTTTGCATTTCATTTGTTGCCTGTATCATTGCATCCATTGGACCATATCTTATGTATTCTATGAAAAATAGTTCAGTTGTTGGAGGTGTGTAAACTAGAATGTAAACAGTCAGTTAGAAAAGATGAGCTTAAATTCTTGATTGTGAGCAGATTTGTAAATAATGACAGAATAGAGGAGAGTGTGTTGGGACTCAATTATACAAAAAAGTTGATCCTGAATCCAAACATTTAGAATATGATTGGAAGTTAAAAGAACTGGAATTGCAAAGAGAAGCATAAGAAAGACAAAAGGAAACCAAATTAAAAAGATTAGTAATAGAGGAAACATTTTTTTAAATATATTTTTTATTTATTGTTATATGTTTTAAGAAGAATAACTAAAAATTAAGCATTTATCAGTAAATAGTAATAATATTCATACGTGTTCATAAGCAGTTCCAACTTTGTACACTTATACTACTAAATTCTGACCACCCCGGGAAGATAACTAACATCCAAATATCTTCCAAGTCTATATGGCCAGCCCGCACTTTAGACAGAGTCATGTCATAAATATTTTCTGCACTTTTATTACTTTAGACAATTCTCCATGCAACCACTCTACTGTAAACAAGCGGATAAATCCTTTCCCAATGTGTTCTTGGAGCCAGGGTTACGATAAACTCTGTGGGAACCTCAGCTTATTGCAGCTGCGCATGCTTGTTTTCTATCAACAGTATGGTGTCACATAAACAGTTTAATGGTATAAGCAGTGATTCATTGCTTTATGTTTAGCAGGTTTCTACTTCAGCCACGAACAGTAAAATAAATATAGGAAACAGATGTGAAAAGATTAAAAGTAGAAACTGTTAGGAGAAGCACTTTGGAACATTTTGATTAATACTCAGAAAAGGATAAAACAGTACCATTTATTTTATTTCACATTTTTTTTATGATGGTTACAAGTGTTGTCAAGTTGAACGAATGTATATCGAGTTTGGGTAGAGAAAATAACAGATAAAATATAAAGTTTTAGTGGGAAAAGAATGTGATATTTATTTGGATTATAGAGATTATGTAAATAAAATTCGATAATTTTCAAATGAAAATTATTTTTTATCTTAAATTGGGAAACACTTTGCACTCAGAGCAGTTAACATTGACTCTATGTCAACCCTCTGACTCCACAAAAAAAATAAAAATACTTAATTAACACTTTTGTCTTTTTGTCTACAAAAGACTTGTAATGCATACTAAAAGCTTGAAAAATTTCATGAAGATACACAAAACATATTAAGAGTTATAGTATGGAAACTCTTATAGTTACTTTGGGATCATGTGGTTGATGTAATCCATTGAGGCAGTTGCAAAAGGGTTAAGGTGTCTTCAATAATTATGATTTCCTTTGAGTTTCTAGTGTATATCAAACTGGAATTTTCAAACTGATTATGGAAAATTGTGTATAAAAGTGGAAGCAATCAAATTTCAGTCAGTGGTATGACATAGATTATGATTAAAACAATTTGTGGTTTGAATGTATATAGTTTTGTCTAAGACAATTTCTAAGTTTCACTTGTAAGAAGCTCTGTACATGAGTAACACTTATATTGCTATTTGATGTTCTTGTGGCCTAGTCAGTAAAGACAGCAGTACTGTGATATCTTTTATTGACTAAATATTTATATTTATACTTTATAACTACCCACATCTAGAATCGGTAGTGAAGACTGAACTGCTTTGAAATGAATTAATATAAAATATATTGATATTGATAAACATGACAATTCTTTTAAGTCATATATCCTAAATTATAATTTCAAATGTGTTAGTATTTCTAAATATTGTGAAATACTAAAATTCAAGATATTTTAGACTATAAGAAAAAAATCTAGTCATAAAAGTACTTTCATAAGGTAGATATTTGTTTTTCAGGAGTGAATTGGGAATGAGCAGGAAAACATATCTGCTTTCTGACAAAGTGTTCAGTTTTGTGTATTGTGAATTGTTACATACTTTTTTTTTGATACAATGTGTTTTCAGTACAATTTAAAGAGCTTTTTAAATTTTGATTAAATATTAACAAATACATATTTTTCTTATTTAAAGCAGTGTAGCAGCATCAACAAAGTTCAAAATATCCAGATACATCATGTTTACAAAAAAGTGTGTCTTCAGGAAAAGTTTACATAAATACTCATTAGGATAACTGAGAAGGCCATATCAAACATTTTGTTGTTTCTATTGTCTAAATGTTGTTTTTCTTTTTATCTAACACAGAAGAGAAGGAGATGGAGAGTTTCTCTCTATTTTGTCAAATGAAATTGGAGATGAGGTAGGTGTGTTTGCTTATTTTTATAGATTTAAACAACAATAATTGTAAAATATAAATGGAGATTGGAACTGAGGAACACTATAACTGGTAGTATTATCATTTTTTTATTTGAAGTACTTAAGTTTGTATTGCCAATATTTTATATACATTTGGTTTAATAACAAAGTTCTGTTATGAAAGCTGTATGTACTGAAACATTGCCAGAGATAATTATAATTTCAATATCTAGTACTATATTTCTTGCTGTAGTTAATGTTCTCCATATCAATTGTGTTGAATTAAAAGGAGAAATTAAACACAACCTCTTACTTCAGAGAACATAACTGGTTTTATTTCAGATAACGTTTTGTCAATACGGCTTCATCAGGGCAAACAAGACACTTGCCAACTGATTTAGGTTTATACCAAAGATTTAAAAATAATTTGAATCTGACCACTAAGATGGACTTTGCTCAAGATATAAACCAATTGAAAGTACAAGCAAACAGACAATATTACACTATTTAGAGCAACAGTAAAATTAAAAAATTCCAGGGTGGTTTTTTGTTTAATATGGCTTATTCTCTGAAATTAATAATGCTTCATTGCAATTTCTATCTAAAAAGTTGTGGCAGTGAGTAAGAATATTTGCTGTTATGGGACAATCAATATCAAATATACCATGTTTGTCAACAATATGTTCAGCCACAGCACTGGTTTTGCTGTCTAATGTGTGTAGAGCTCGAAGGTGTTTATTAAATCTATCCCTAATAGTTCTGCCTGTTTCACCAATGTACACAGAACCACAAAGTTTGCATGTCAAACTTTATACTACATTTTGGTGATTACAGTTTCTTCTTAAACCTGATTTACAACCTGCAGTTTTGTCTGTAGGTTTATTGTATGTTTGGATCTAAAGGCTGATCTTATGAACATATTTTTCAAAGTTCTACCTTGTATTCTCTGTAACACTGATGTAAAGACCTGATTGTATGTATAGCTGTCTAATAAAAGCTGTAATCTCAGGACTAATATATGGTATAACGAACTTTGTGTGAAATTACTTTTTTCTTGTGGTAATATTTCTGCATTGTTACTGTGGGCTCTGTTTTCATAGCTTTGTACAGTCTTATCAATAAATGTTTGTGGATATCCATTCATGTGTAATTTATGTACAAGTTCTTGTATAGCTTTGGATTTACCTTTATTAGTTGTACAAATCTTATTGATACGATGTAGTTGTCCAATAATAGTCGAATGTTTAATGGTAATGTAAAAACACTGGTTTCTCACAAGACTTATTATGATACAGTTGTTATAGGATAATCTGAACATCAAGTAACAACAATAAGTTTGGTTCTTTGCAGTGTTTAATAGTGAATTTTATAGTAGGTGGAAGATATTGAGGAAATCATAGAAAAGCAGTAAATTATTTAGAGTCATTCCAAATATGTTTATATATCTGACCCATACTTCTGGCTTCTTATACGTTTCCTTATACCAATGTTGTAACGCTTGACTTTCTAACATATACATGTAAATAACTCAAAATGTTACAGCTACATGATTACCCATAGTAACACCTGATAACTGATGGTAGATCTCATTAAACTGAAAATAACTGTTTCTTAGCATCAAATTTAACATGTCTCTGATGTGTTGAATAGTGGATCCTGCCAAATTTACACTGTCTTTACAAATTCCATGACCAAATTGATCCCTTCATCAATATCCAGACTGTATTGAATTAACTTTAGATCTCTAAAATTGATATTTTCAACTTCTTTTTTTTTCATTCCAGTAAAAATACACTGGTTTCTCACAAAACCTTGTCGAAACATTGTACATTTGCTGTTATGTTAAACTTATATTAAAGTTTTTCTTCATTACCCATTCAAGCCGTCTCCAAGCATTATTAAAATCCACCATAGTTATGACCTTATTACAGTTGAATTTTTCTCATTATTTCTTCAGTTTCATCTGGTGGCCTGTAACAAATTACAATTAAAAGCCATTTCCCTCTATATCTGCTAACAGAAACTCTTGCTGTCTGTGATATGTTAAACTTCAACTAGGATGTAACTCGTATAAAGCCACTATTCCCCTTATTATTAGTGCTCTGTCCATATCAAATAACCTATAATCCTTTTCTTAAACTTAACATTCAGCCTTAGTGAGCTACTTATAATTTAATCCTCACATATAAGTCTTCACAGTATCCCTGACCTAATTAAATTATGACTCTTTTCTTTATATGCTTTTATTGTCCCCTGCAGTTATCAGTTAGCTCCTCTGACCTCTGCATCATTGTATTACTGTTACCATCCTTAACTATATTGCTTGCTTTGTCAGTAATATCCTAATTTTTTCTCCCTATTTACCCCATACACTCTCCTATCCATATGTTGTACTGAAGAATCATCTTTAACTATAATCTCCTTAAGATTTTCATTCCCATCTCTCTTTGTCTGTTCTGTTTTCCTTTCATCCCAAAGCTTCTCACCTGCACAAGATAAAGGTTGAAATATGTTAATTGATAGAATCTAACCATTAGATTATTATTAGCCCTAATAGTACTGTTTCTAACTTCCTGAATGTTATTATTAGTTATAATATCCCTTGCATGCAAAAACTGAAATCCTTTTTCAAATCCTGCTGCTATTATCTATCACATCTACTCTATTTAGTATAGCCTCCAATTTCTCTTCCAACCTGCAAACCCTACAAAAAATTGCACATCTTCGCAGTTATCATTCTTAAAAGCACATGCCACTCTCGAGCTTCCAAATACAATCTCCTTCTTGCATCTATCACACCATACAAGCTATGAATATTTAACACCTCTCTTAACTGATGTAGTGTGAAAATAAACAATAATAAATAATAAATGCTAAATACAAGTAGTCTATTGATAACACTGCCTAACATTTGAAAATTAAATATATTCACTATTTTGTCATTGTTTTATCTTCATACTGAAGTAAATAAGTTTATCTTTAAAGTATAGAATTGACAAATAACTAGTCTTTATATTATATTTATGTAACATACAATGTATTTAGCTGGTTTTGTAATTTACCGATAAGCTGAATTGCAAGTGAAATCGAGGTACACTCACTAAGTCTAACCAAATGTTAGTAGTACACCACCAAGCTTTAAATTAAAATTTTAATCCTACTCATAATATTTATCAGCTTATTATTAATAACACATATTATTGCAAATAAGAATATTAATCACATTCTTAAATATATTTAAATGAGACATTCCAAAAACTTCAAAACTTTAGCTTTCAGATGTCTTTTCTCTCCCTTAGTACTTATCATGATTTATAAAATGCATAGAGTAAATTTGTAAGCTGAAGCTAAATCATTTGATTTATGTTTGTGTAAAGCCAAGTTGTCTTTAAAAATTAATGGCTACAAAGTCTATAAAATTTGTTTAAAATATAATGTTTAAATAATTTTATGCTAGGAAAAATTGTTTCACAATTCTCAATTTTGTTGACTTATTTCAAACTCTGATAGCTAGAATTTTTATCACTGATCCAGGATATTCCTTGTAAAACTAACTATATGTATATTAAAGTAAGAATATTGAGGTTTTTTATTCATCTGGGTCAGCAAAACTAGCAGTTTTGTATCGTTTACATTAAAATAGTGAAACGTGAAATTTGGCACAGATTTCTTTTTAAGTTCATGTATGTTATTATTCTAACTTTTTTTTTGAAAAAATATTTTAATAAAAAAGGATTTTATTTATATGATGATGACTTGATGTCTTGCATAGTTTTGTGACTAGGGTGTACAACTCACAATCTTCATGTTGTAGGTTCAAATCTCATCACTGAACATGCTATCCCTTTAAACCATGAAGGTGTTATAATGTGTCTTATTAGAGTAGCCCAAGAATCAATGTTGACTAACTGCCTTCCCTCTAGTCTTTTTCTTTCTTTTTTTTTTTTGTCCTCAACTTGTGCCTTTCAGCATCATGGTAGATGCAAGTGTCCTACCAAGGTAAGGTGTGGCATTTCAGCAGTTGCTAGCCTCATGTATTTTTAGCTGTTTCTTTGACACCATCAATCCAATGCTTTTTTTTTTCTTATATCTCTGCAGGTTGTAAATCCTGTTAGTTGTAAGTTATATGCTCTTATTGGAAGCTGCTCTGGACTCATTTGCACCAAATGGCTAAACTATTTCAGTTTCAATCTGTGCTTTTTTTTATATGTTTCAGTACTGGACTCACTCTAACCTGTAGTTGATTGTTTGATTTTGTACTTTATTTATTGACCTTGCTAATTTTAATATCATACTTTTTGCATTGTATGTGTTTATTTTACTAAGATAATCTTGGAGTTTCTTTTTGTCTTTGTCAAGGAAGGCCTGATCATCTGAAAACATAAGTTCATTGATTTTTTCTGGCATTAAATTTACTTCTTTTGTGAACTGTTCCATCTATATTATAAAGAACTGGGGGCAACAGGACACATCCTTGATGCACACCACATGTTATGTCATTTCAATCTATCAGTCCACTTGATGTTCTAACAACATATTTTCTACTTTTATCCAAAGCTCTTATGTTGCTCTTTACTCCATAATCTGTTATTTCTAAATCAGGAATGGCTAGTATAAATAGCCTTTAACTAACTTTGCATGAAATTCAACAAACAAAGAAATGTGACCATTTGAAATAACTTTTTTCTTTAATCATACACACCAACTAATGGACACTAGTCAAATTTGATTTTCTTGTCTAGAAGAAAGTGATGTGTATGAAGCTATTTTGTCTATGTAGGGGGTCCTTTTGTTCCTAACAGCAGGTGAAGACAAAGGACCAGGGCATATATTGTTGACTGGACCACCTGATACTGTAGCTGCTGTAGGACCACAGTAAGTAAATTAATGTTGAATGCTTTTTATTTCTTTAGGAGACAATAGCATGAACTGGTACTCTCTGAGAAGTGATAGTTATTAGAACATTTAATTTTTAGCCCTTGGTAAGTTTTTGGAAATTACAAGTTGGTGGCCAAAGAAAATGTTTTTTCATTTAACAGGAATCAATGTTTTCAAAAGGGTTAATATAACCCAAGTGAACTCTTTGTATAATTTTATGTATTTATTTGTATAGTGCAAGAATGTACTAAAATTTGAAGAAAGCTCTCATGAATCATATTTGTATTTATTCCCAGTACATATTTTACCATTCATTTAATTGTGCAGGAAAGTTTTCTTTGGCATTTAGTATTGTGTGGATAATTATTGATAAAGTTTATTACATGCATTATTTTTATGTTGTATCTGTGATATTTCAGGGTATGTGACTTGCTTCAAGGGAAAGGATCAGGAAAAAATGGAAGATTTCAGGCCAAGGTGGCTTCTTTTACAAAGAGATCAAAAGCAGAAGAGATCATTAAGCAAGCTCTAAGAATAAATAACTGAAAATGATGAACAGTGATTTTCACAGGGGGTGTAGATGTATAATTTCTATATATGTATACAAATGAAAAGAAGATAGAATTTTTGCATTAAAGTATTATAGTATTTTTTGCACGAACCTAATCTTTTGACTTATAACTAAGCTTTCTTCTTTTATCCACAATAAATAACCAAAATATTTGGAATTACACGTGTCATCATAAAAGTAACTTAATTTTTAATCATAATTTTTCATGTAATAGATAGATTTAATTCTTGAAAAACAGTAACTCAGCTCAGCATATTTATTAGTTTGGAATAATAGCTGTCCTATTTAAATTTGTTTCTAAACTTGTGGTTCAGTTGAACTGTGAAAATGCTTAAAAAATAAGTACTTTTTGTCTCTAAGCAGACTGGTTGTGAAGATGGAATTAAGCAACTTACCTGTACAGTATATGTGTACTTGACAGTTAAACAAAAACTAGAACTCTTAGATAATTTCTGTTCAAGAATATGTATAAACCTAAAATGTGTTATTTAAAAATAAATGTCACAGTTATTAAATTTTTAAGTATTATCTTAAAAAAGCTATTATTTAACATGGTAACTTGCACTAAGTATTTCAGCATTTCAGAGTTCAATCATGCTCCAGGGAATTAGTAAAACAGGTGTCTTGCTAAAGACTACTACATAAATTAAACAAGAACCCTTATGTTAGAATAAAAACAATTTGTACAATCTACAAGAATTAAAGTGCCTCTTTTTGACCAGTATAGTACTACTGAAACATTAATTTAACACATGATCTCTTCCCCAAACAAAGATGTCTCAGTGGCAGAGATTGGATGTAAAAAATCCAGGATCTAGTTGGTTTTGGTGAAACTTATAAAGATTGTAGCATATGGTATTGTATGAAAATTATGATCTCAAGTTTCAAAATTGATAGAAATTAACTGAGTTATGATGGGTCACATCAGCAGCAGAAACACCATAGGTAAAGAAAGTACTTCTTGGTGGGTAACTAAAGGGTTGGCTTTCTTCTTCTTTTTCCTTTGTTGCATCTGTTTTTCATACCTAGAGCCTAATAGATTTTTGGCAAGTAGCTCCAGGTCCCATTGACCTTGAATGTAACTTTGCTACTCTTTGGCATGTGATAATCAATCACATTAGTCCATCAATTACCTCCATGTACAAGGTTCTGAGATGTTTGACTTACAACCTGTGCAGCTTCTATGGGTGCAGGCTTGATGGACTATTTGATGGCTGTTGTTCATGCAAATCTATCTATCAAACTTCAAGATGCTGTGTTAGCTCTTAGAAATTGTTTTGATGCTAATAGAACAGTAGTTATAATAGTAGTACCTTTCTGCCAGAACAGAAGATGAAGAATAAGGTCTTCAATCTCAAATAGGAAATGAAGAAAGGTCACATAATTTGATTTAAGAATATAGAAAAAAAGAGATGATCAATTCATGTGTGTGACTGTTGCTGGTAAAATGGAGAAACCACTCAAAATTCCTCTTTCTGTGACTGCTTATATCTCTTTACTGAAATAGATTACCATCATATTAATTGTATATTAGGATAAAGCAGATTCTGGACTTCTCATTGGTGTATATGATGTCTCCAAGAAATAATTACCAGAATTTCCTGTTCTTTGCCCTGCCACTCAGAAACACTAGCTCATCTCTGATTGAGGGAAAGATCCTGAGTTGATAATATTCAAAAGTAAATTCTGTATTTACCTTTTTGATTTTGGAGATGAATCACTATGAGAACAGACTGAACATAGCCTAGTGATTATTGTTACAGGCTGCAGTTTAAAAGATCTTAACTTTTGAGCTGTGATGTGCTGTTGAAATATGCTGTGGTTGTGTCATATCTGTAATCATCAGTTCTGCTATTTGGCTAAGAGTATCCATTTAGATGGTATGTACTTCTGACCAGAAGTTCTAACTCAGGGATATCTTTACTGAACCTTGGAGTCTCTGATCTGACCTTTAGCCTACGTGTCACAGTTAGGTTAAAAATACAATCCTCAAAGGCAGAGTAAGATATAATGACTCACATTTTAAATGACTTTTAACCCTAGAAATATCTGTTGGATCCATCTGGAACTCATTGAATTTTAAAACAGTATTTATAAACTATTTACATGCCAAGTTTTTGTGGGTACAGGACTTTGTGTATGATAGGGTCTCTAAACGCATACAAGTCATAGTTTTTGTTTTTTTAAGATATAATCAATATTGTAGTTAGTCTTGCAAATTATTACTGCATTTTACATAAATAATGAGTAGTTTCACATAAAAATGTTTATCAGTTCCTTACACTGAGTCAAAGTGAAAATATAAAAGTACTTAATGTAATGCAATATGTAAACACTACTAATAATGAACAATATAAAAACAAATCAGTAACTTGACGATTTATATTTATTTGTGTTTTGATTGTAACCGATGTTGTGTGTGTTATTGTTTTTAGTACAGATAAAGTTCATTGAAGTTTTCCCCCTAAATATAGTTTTCACAAGTGTTGCTGGGTTCAGATCCTTTTAGAATAATTTGTTAATAGGAAAATAGTTGAATAAAATTTAATCTTAGATAGGTTAAACAACTAACACCAAAAATAAAGGATAATATATTGCCTAATAAAGAATATTATAAAATAAAACCATTTGGTTCTCATTCTGATATTATGTATGAAGTTAATAAAGATGGATGTCCAGTTAGACCAGTAGTGTTTGGTTAGGTACATACAATCATGAGCTATTGGGGTTTCTAGGTAAGTTGTTAGAATCATTAATTAGAAGTGAATACACTTTGAAAAACAATTTTGGTTTCTCTCAAAGAATAAAAAAAAATTAATTTTAATAGTGGAGTATATTGTGCTAGTATTGATATAAGTCTTTTTATACCAACGTTCTGTTAAATGAGACCAAACATTTGTGTTCTGAACTTTTATATCAAAATGACAATGATGAAATGGAATTTTCTAAGCAATTATTTAGTTTTGCCACTAAAGAATCATTTTCTTTGATAATGATATTTATGAACAGGTTGATGGCGATAATATGAGATCTATATTAGTCCCATCACTTGCTGATTTGTTCCTTTGTTACCATGAAAAATGTTCATCTCAGTTTAAAGCCATATATTATTGAAGATATGTAGTTAAGTTTCATAAATTACCTTATCAGTAGACATACTAATATTAAATTCATTGATGAACATCAACATAACCACCAACTTCTATTCTTAGACCTCTTTATTCATAATAACTGATAAATGTGATTGTGAATTTTTCCGTAAAAAGACTCACAGGTCAAGACACACAGTAATGTGTCGTACGGCCAAGAAAAACAACTTGAGACGCGCGACATATTGTGTAATTTGTAGGAACCAACGAATTGCGATTTTCAGCTGCCTGTAGCTTAATACTCCCTCAGTGAATTTCTCACCTGTATTGTGGATTATTGCCTCCCAGTTTTGTTACCTCGCATTCAAAATTTCAAGAAAATCTAAGCAGCCAAAACTGAGATATACGATAGCAAATTTTGTCTGATTTTCTTCGTCCTCTTCTACGCATCAAATTGTAGGGAATTTTAAAAACCTACTTCTCAAACTTCGGTTTTTATGAAATTTTTTACACATTTAACATACCTTTTACTCTACATCTGTATAAAATTTCGCGCTGTTACAGTAGAAATAACGGCGTTTTTTGAAAGATATTTGCTCAGACCTGCAGCACAAATAGGTGGAATCGTCCTGAAATTATTTACAGAATTTCCCCTGATTTAAAATTTAAAATCGGCCATTATCCGGTTTTTGTCGGATCTCAATTGACTAGAATGTCTAGACCTACTACATCAAAGGATGTATACATCTTGTTCTACAGCCTAGATCATACTGTCTCTTCAATATGTGATAGTCTGCATATATGTAAGTAACAATATAATATTTCTATGTCACTTTCAAAGTATTGTTTATATTTTACAGCTTCTCTGAACGGTGGACATTCATCTGATATATAGGCCAAATCCTGCTTGACGTGATAAATTCATGCATTTACAGCTCATACTTGTAGGTGTATGTATTTTTTAGGCTTTGTTGGTCACAAAAAGGTGTGATGATAGCCTTCACGATACTTGTGTATTCTGCTTTTTAGAAAGTAGTTATATCTAAACCGAAAATAGTCCAGTTATATATATATATATAAAAGTGGCAACTAAAAGATGTGAACTCAAAATTGGCGGCCAAGCCAGTGCAAAAATGATGTTGATAACAATGAAAATTGTGATAATGACAGTTCAGGTCAACATTGTGTTACAGACTCCTAAGTGAAACTTGTGACGGTTGTTCTCAAGCGATTTGCCAATATAAATAGTGTTTCAATCAGTGGCGTAGAAAAGAGCTGCAAAGTAGGGGTGCTTGGCTAGACATGCAGATTTTGCAATG